GGCGGATAGAAAAAGGCCCGTCTTGTGCCACCGATGGGCGGGCCAGGGGAGGACACGCGCAGACGACCCGTGTGTCCGCGTGGTGTCCGTTTCACCCCAAAAGCGGCGCAAGTTTGGGCCGGGAATGGGTCGAAAGCGGACACAAAGCGGACAAAAGTCCGTTTGCTCCCGCGCGTTGGGCCGCCTTTTTTGTCCCTTTTACCCCAAACGAACGGGGCCGGACAGGATAGGGTCGCGCGGTGGAGTTGGCCTTACGACCTCCAAGAAGGTTCCGATCCAATTCTGGTCCGTGCATTTTGTTTTTCCTTTTTCTATTGTTTCCTTTACCGGTTTCTTTGATTATTTTTATTTTTCCAAAAATGCTACCATTTTATTATCACTTTTAAAATTTTAAAAAACGTTCGTGGTTAAAAAATTTGAAAATGTTAAAAAAGTTTGGCATTTAAAAAAAATGCAGACTTTTAAAAATGGATGCAAATGTCAAAAAGTTTTTGTTTACTCAAAAATTGTTCACAAATTAAAAAATGTTCGTTTTTAAGAATACGTTCAGAATTTTGAAAATACCAGCTTTTTAGACAAAATGAAGTTTTTTTAGAAATTACATTCTAAAAAATGTTGGCCTTTAATAAAAAATTTAGAGTTTAAAAAAATTATTTGCGTTCTAAAAAAACGTAGAAAATTCCGAAAGTTCGTGTTTTCATATTCACTTTTTATAAATAAATGTGCGCATTCTAAATAAACTTATGACAAATTCGATATTTATTGTGTTCTAAAAAAATACACCTTTTATCCCATTTTCAAAAATTGTTCACAAATTTAAAAATATTTCTGCTTATCAATTTTTTTAAAAGCCACCTAAAAATGCATGCTATAATGCACCCGAAGCACTTCAGTGGCCGGCTTGCTAGTAGCTACTATGTGCACCCGAGTAGCTAGAGTGCATGCGGAAAACAAACCCGCAAAGCAGTATCTTAATGGGCCCGTCGGGTCGCTCGCACCTGTGTGTCTCCGAGGCAATCTAACGCAGAATGTGGCACCTAGGAACTCCCATGTTACGCTAAAAAAAGGAGCTCCAATGTCAAACGTCGTGAACAACACACAGTACTTTTTGTAAAAGTTTACGCGTTGCCCCTCTGAACAATGGTTTTGACACATTTCAGTAAGATTTCACGCTAGTTTACATGTCCATCCACACCAATTTCAGTTAGATTTCACACCAGTTGATTACTTTTTTTTGAGGGGTCACACCAGTTGATTACTTTCTATGTTCGTGTCCATCCCCTACCTCAGCCCATTTTACATGGCTCGCTATCTTGTGTCTGCGAAATGCTGACGTTTTGACACAAAGCGTATCAAATAGGATTCGCGCTGCTATACGTCGCTTCCCGCAAGACCGAGTACCATCTCGCCTAAAGCAGAACGTCTAGTGGGCGGCCCAATAATACTACATTAGTTGTTTTCGTTTCTTTCGTTGATAGTTTCGTTCATCTTTTTCTTTTTCTTTCTATGTTTTTAATTTTGTTTATATATTTTCAAAATATTACATATATATTCCAAATATTAAATTAAACTAAATTTAAATTAACTTTACTTATTTTTTAAAAGTTCACGAGCACTAAAAAATGTTATGAAATGTAAAAATTTGCTCATGCAACTTTTATGGAGTGTTTGTACCATTGAATTTCTTTCTTGTAATTTATATAATTTTGACACATTTGAAAATATATAAAATGTCCGCTTAATTATAATTTTTTTTGTACCATTCAAAATATTGTTCACAACATTTTAAAAAAATGTATGCTTTAAAAAGTATGTTTGTGACATTTTTAGAAAATGTTCATAAGTACTCCCTCCGTTTCTAAGTATAAGCCCTTTTAGAGATTTCAACACGGATTACATACGGATGTGTATAGACATATTTTAGAGTGTGGATTCACTTATTTTGCTCCTTACGTACTCTATATTGAAATCTCTAAAAGGTCTTATATTTAGGAACGGAGGGAGTATAGTGTAAATTTTTTGTTGCGCTGTTTATAAAAATTATTCATTCCATATCAAAACACAGTACTTTTCAGCAAATATTCAGATTTCATAAAAGGGTTACGCGTTGCCCCTTGCACGTAACAAATAATTTGGCAAATTGCGGTTGGATTTCACACCATCTGATTTGTTTCTAGCGCTAGTGGAAACGGATCAAATGCCAAGTACCTCGCGCTCGCTCTTCCACTCTGGTTCAGTTTGGATTTCTTTTTCTTCCCAAACGAAGGGGGCTGTCATTGTGTCAACATCGTGCAACTAGTGGGGTGCAACAAGGGACGGAAGAGGATCGGTGGAAGTCAGTGGTGGTGTGAGGGGAGGCGCAGGGCAAACGTTGGATGCATGTCCGGTGAGCCCTGCCAGCACCGCCACTCACACAACACAAGAGACAGACTATGAGCGGTGGCAAAAATTTCAGGTCTGCAGGTACTAGTGCAGAACATTAATTAGCTAGAAAGAGTGCACGGATCAGTTGGATTTAGAAAGGGATTGAGTCACTTTGCATTTTTCTAGCTTACATGGAAGAGAGTCTCCCAGCAAATAAGATAGTTTGAGAAGAAAACTTTGACAGGAATGAATCATATCAGTCTGTCAGCAAAGGCAACTAACCCAACACGGTGTAATAGTAGGATCGCGTTTTATCTTTCTTGCATTATGAAACATCAGGACAACTCATTCTCTTGTCCTGATTGGACTGATGGTAGGGCAAAATGGACTGTAACATCAGGACAACACATTATCTCTTGTCCTGATTAGACTCATGGTAGAGCCAAATGGACTGTAGCATCAGGACAACTCATCATCAAGATATTGTTAATGCAATGTCACTCAGTATGGTAAAGAGTAGAATGCAACGTATGAGGTCTCATGGATGAGAAGAATTTCTTGCAAATTATTTTGCAACAAACATGGCATTTAAATTCCTCCGTTCATGAGGATGTTGATATTTCTGATGGACAACTCATTATCTTGTCCTGATTAGACTCATGGTAGAGCCAAATAGACTGTAACACCAGGACACCTCATTATCAAGATACTGTTAATGCAATGTCACTTGTTAGTACGATAAAGAGTAGAATGCAACATATGAGGTCTCATGGATGAGAAGAATTTCTTTCAAATTATTTTGCAACAAACATGGCATTGAAATTCCTCCGTTCAAGGATGCTGATGTTCCTGATGGAAGATCACACCGGTGTTATCAAGTACAGACAAACGATGATCGTTATAGAAGAGAAGTATATCTTGGTATCATCGATCAAATCATTCAAAAGCTTGACAATCGGTTTGATGAGGTTGGGACATGTTGTTTTAATTTCCTTCTTTGTACATATTATTTTAATTAATGGAAAATACCATAGAACAATCGTTCTATGGTCTCGGGACAAAAAAATAATTGGCTTGATGAGGTTAATATGGGTTTGATTATTTGTATGTCCTCTTTATGATGCACTCAAGTTAATGAGACTTCCGTATTCTACCCCATGGACATATGAAGCACGGATTTGATAATGCTTGAATTTCAACTCGCCAACTTTATTGATGATATGAGACAAGATCATAGAGTTAGATGCGTAAGTAATACATTGGTGAGCTCTCTATTATGCTTGTTGAAACAAAAAAGAATGATCTTTATGATTTGGTCTACTTACTCATCAAGTAGGTATTGATCTTACCGGTGGCGACAACGTGTGTTGAAAGAGTATTTTCTACAATGAATCTAGTGAAAAATAAGTTGATAACTACCACGAGTGATGATCCCTTGAACTACTTCTTAGTGAAATTTATTTAAACGAGGTGTGCTTTTGAAAGTAAGTCAAGATAACATAGTTTCTTTTTTGAGGATAAGATGAGATAGTTGAAACTTTCATGCAATGCAAAAACGGAGAGTTACCTAGTGTTGTAATTTTCTATGTGTGCACCTTTCATGTAAGACTATTTATTTTGTAATTTTGCAAAATCGGAATATTTCCTGAACAATAATGTTGTGAGATTTGATCGAGTTTTTTTTATGTTATTTTTTTTTCTTATGTTACATGACAATTGGATTAGGTAGATTTACTTTTTTATTCCTAGGTCAGCCACTGTCCCAAACAAAACACAATACTTTCCGAAACCCAAATGATAAGTAGCTACCGACAGGTATGAGCACATGGCAAATCGATCGTTTTTCTGACAATTCTAATGAAGCAAGGTTGACAAGTTAGTTGACACACACTGTAATTTTCTATCAAAAAATAAACTGAAGCATGAAGTTGCCGTGCCTGCCAACTAAAGTTGCCATCCTGGCGTCACTAAACTTACTATCGGAAACGTTTGATTTGCCATGTGCTAGTACCTGACGTTCGGGCGTTATCAGATTCCTTGGTAAAAGCCTTACGTGTTCGTGTCCATCCACTGCCTCGGGCTATAGCGAAAACGGATCAAATGCCAAGTGCGTTGCCGCTTACTTTTGGTTCACTTTGCCCTTCCTGCATCCTCCCCCCTAACTGAAAGGGGTTGAGATCGTGTCAGCGTGTGCAACCAGTGGGGCGCAGCGCAGCGACGGGATCGGATCGGAGGTGCACAACAGCTGATCATTAGCCAGAAAAGAGCGCACGAATCAGTTGGACTTGGAAAGTGCTCGAGTCCCCCAGCATTTTCCTAGCCAGCTTTCGTCAACCCGCGCACGCACGCACGAGCAGGACGAGAGTCTCCCAGTTTTCTCCTCTCCTCTCCTCTCAAGGAAGGAACGAAGAAGAAAAAGATAGGACACGAAGGCATTTGGTTCCAAAACGGGGAAGGCAGGCTACAACAAACACAAGGAGGAGGGGAGCGGGCGGGGAGGCCGTTGCGTTTCCCGCTATTTCCTCCTTGCCCACCGCTCCCTATACAGCCTCCGCGGCGGCTGCGTCGCCTTCCCCCCGTGAGGCTCCGCATCCCCTGCATTCTTGACCTCCCCGGCGCCCACCCGCCGGCTCGCCATGGGCAACTGCTGCGCGGGATCCGGGGATGCGGAGCCCGCCGCCGGCGCCGACCCCTCCACGCGCCGCGCCGGCGCCTCCGTGCAGGCCGGCGGCGCCTCGCCCTCCTCCGCGCCCGGCCAGAACAAGCCGCCGGCCGCCATCGGCCCCGTGCTCGGCCGCCCCATGGAGGACGTGCGCAGCATCTACACCGTCGGCAAGGAGCTCGGCCGCGGCCAGTTCGGGGTCACCAGCCTCTGCACGCACAAGGCCACGGGCCAGAAGTTCGCCTGCAAGACCATCGCCAAGCGCAAGCTGTCCACCAAGGAGGACGTGGAGGACGTGCGGCGCGAGGTGCAGATCATGTACCACCTCGCCGGCCAGCCCAACATCGTGGAGCTCAAGGGCGCCTACGAGGACAAGCAGTCCGTGCACCTCGTCATGGAGCTCTGCGCCGGCGGCGAGCTCTTCGACCGGATCATCGCCAAGGGCAAGTACACGGAGCGCGCCGCCGCGGCCCTGCTCCGCACCATCGTCGAGATCATCCACACCTGCCACTCCCTCGGCGTCATCCACCGCGACCTCAAGCCCGAGAACTTCCTCCTGCTCAGCAAGGAGGAGGACGCGCCGCTCAAGGCCACCGACTTCGGGCTATCCGTCTTCTACAAGCAAGGCACGCACGCATGCATTTATCTTCTTCTTCTTTCCTGTCCAAGCAAAATAGCAAATGAAACCGCTTCGTTTCGTTGCTCAAGAAAGAATTCTGGCGCCATTGTTGGCTGCAGGGGAGGTGTTCAAGGACATCGTGGGCAGCGCCTACTACATCGCGCCGGAGGTCCTGAAGCGGAACTACGGGCCGGAGGCGGACATCTGGAGCGTCGGCGTCATCCTCTACATCCTTCTCTGCGGTGTCCCTCCCTTCTGGGCAGGCGAGTCATCTTCTAATCTACAGTAATTAACCCCCCCTAATAACAGTCTAATCGAAACGCATCACTGAGACTTAATTTTGTTGTACCAGAATCGGAGCACGGCATCTTCAATTCCATCCTGAGGGGGCAGATCGACTTCAGCAGCGACCCATGGCCACGCATTTCGTCCGGCGCCAAGGACCTCGTTAGAAAGATGCTCAACTCTGACCCCAAGAAGAGGATATCTGCCTACGATGTCCTCAGTGCGTGCACATCTCTTTGCATTTCACGTACCCCGAGTTCAGAATTCTGATCCAACGATATGCTATTGTTTTGGTGTTCAGACCATCCTTGGATCAAGGAAGACGGAGAGGCGCCTGACACGCCGCTGGACAACGCCGTCATGAACAGGCTCAAGCAGTTCAAGGCTATGAACCAGTTCAAGAAAGCTGCGCTAAGGGTCTGTCCATGCATGGTTCTGAATAATTATTCAGGAACCTCCATTTCTCATGTTCTGAACGGATGGTATGCAGGTCATCGCCGGATGCCTGTCGGAGGAAGAGATCAGGGGGCTCAAGGAGATGTTCAAGAGCATGGACTCGGACAACAGCGGCACCATCACCGTCGACGAGCTCCGGAAGGGCCTGGGGAAACAGGGGACCAAGCTCACGGAGGCCGAAGTGGAGCAGCTTATGGAAGCCGTAAGTCTCTCTATCTACATTAATTACTAGGTCCATGGAGATAGCGGCCCGTTTTGAGCTTTGCTGGTCCAGGCCGACGCCGACGGGAGCGGGACGATCGACTACGATGAGTTCATCACGGCGACGATGCACATGAACAGGATGGACCGGGAAGAGCACCTCTACACCGCCTTCCAGTACTTCGACAAGGACAACAGCGGGTACGTAACCTGACAAGTTCACATTCTCTCCTCATCGACAGACATGAACTCACTCATTCTTGGCCTTTCCATGGCTGCCGCATGCAGCTACATTTCCAAGGAGGAGCTCGAGCAGGCCCTTCGGGAGAAGGGGCTTCTGGACGGCAGAGACATGAGCGAAATCGTGTCGGAAGTCGACGCCGACAACGTAATGAACGAGTGTATTCTTTGTTGATGGTGGATGGATGCGTGCGTGCGTGCGTTGCGTTGGCCAAATGATGGTCTGAAAGCTCGCCGTGGCTGTGCAGGACGGGAGGATCGACTACAGCGAGTTCGTGGCGATGATGAGGAAAGGGGCCCCCGAGGGGGCCAACCCCAAGAAGCGGCGCGACGTCGTGCTATAGGGGACGGCGGCTTGGTCGAGGAAGCCGGCGGTCGATCCGCAACAGAACAGCAAGCGATCGAGCGTGCGTGCGAGGCAGCTCGCGACGACGACGATGACGAGCTCATGTACATTTTTCACAGAAGAGGTCGAGTAGCAAATGTTCATATATATACCGTGGGATTGGGAGTCGAAAATGTTGGTACGCTGTCGGGCACGTATCTTCTTCTCTGGTTCTGCTGGTTCCCTTGACTGCCAGGGGAATTAGTTTAGTATGTACTGTATACATCAGTTGAGTAAGTTGGACATTTTTGAGCCTGAATTTGTACGCGGTTTCAGCCTTGAAAATGTGCAGGTATGTAACTTGAGTGAAGTAACGAGCGTGTTGTTGATGTGTCTCTCGCGTGCTTCCAAACTCTCTATGGCTCGTGGAACAGCATGAAGTACAACTGTACAAGCAGGCAGCTTATTTACATGTAGAACAGGAAGGCAGAATCAAGATCAATGGCTCAGCGGCAAGTGGCCTCAACGAACTCTGCTCATGAGTGCATGCCTGTCTGCTCCGCTCTTCTGCGGGCCGAGCTAGCCATGAAGTACGCGTGCAAAAGATAAGGCTCAACATGAGTCCGACTTCAAATCAAATTAACAAAGCCATAGCACATAATAGGTGCATACAACTTGCATAGTAGGACCACGAACACAAATATATTGATAAAAATATAAATGGATTAGATCTAAAATCATGGCACTCAGGCCCTAGTGATAAGCATTAATCATATCAAAGTCATAGCAATATCAATCTCAAAACATAGTGAATACTAGGGATCAAGCCCTAACAAAAACAACTTGATTACATGATAAATCTCATTCAATCTATCACTGTCCAGCAAGTCTACGAAAGAATTACTCACTCCCGGCGGTGACCATCATGAAATTGGTGATGGAGAATGGTTGATGATTATGATGACGAAAGATCCCCCCTCTCCAGATCTCCGAACGGACTTCAGATCTGGCCTCCCGATGAAGGACAAGAGGTGGCGGCGGCTCCGTATCGTAAAACGCGATGAAACTTCCTCTTTTATTTTTTCTCGGGAAATAGGAATTTATAGTATCCAGATTAGGGTCAGCGAAGCCTCGTGGAGCCCACTACCCACCAGGGCGCACCCCGGGGGTGGCACGCCCTGGTGCCTAGTGGACAGTAGGGCCCCTCCCACCGGTGGGTCTTTGCTCTAGTATTTTTCTTTTTTTCCAATTTTTTTCCAAAAAGTTTCGTCCAATTTCGAGAACTTTTATTTCTGCACAAAAAACAACACCTTGGTAGTTCTGCTGAAAACAATGTTAGTCTAGGTTAGTTTCACTCAAATGATGCAAATTAGAGTCCAGAATAAGAGCAGAAATGTTTGGAAAAGTAGATACGGCGGAGACGTATCAGTGGTTTAATAAGAATATTTGTTTAAGGTTTGTGATTCCCGAAGCATGCACGTACAGTCTTCCGTTATGCTAAGAAGTTGGAGCACGATTTATTATTAAGTGTTCCTTTGCGTGAAGATCAGAGGTGTGCGATGGTTAACTCCTACAAATCTCCCCCCTAGGGGCATGCGTACTACTCCCTCCGTTCCGAATTACCCGTCGCAGAAATAGATGTATCTAGAACTATAAGTTCTAGATACATCTGTTCTAGATACATCTATTTCTGCGACGGGTAATTCGGAACGGAGGGAGTAGTACTTTGCTTCGAGGGCTACTAAATTTTCGTAATAAGTATGTGAGTTCCTTATGACTAATTTAAGTTCATGGATTATACACACTCTCACCATTCCGCAATTTGCTAGCCTCTTCGATATCATGCATTGCCCTTTCTCACCTCGAGATGTGATGAAAACTTCGCTGGTGCATCTAAACCTCATGATATAATACACTCTATCACACATAAGCCTCCTTATATTTTCCTCAAAATAGCCACCATACCTATCTATTATGGCATTTTCGTAGCCATTTCGAGATATATTGCCATGCAACATCCACCGTTTCGTTTATTGTGACACACATCATCATTGCCATATTGCTTTGCATGATCATATAGCTGACATAGTATTTGTGTCTCAACCACCATTCATCATTATCATACATCACTACAAAAAAAACACATCCGTGATATTTTGGGCCGAACGCAATTTTTTCTATCATACTTACGACACTTCTATGACGATAATTGTGACAAAACCCGGTATCATCATAGATGTGGCGGGATCCTACTTCTATGACAAAAAATCATGACAGAAAATGGGTTTTTCATCCTGGGCGGGCCGGAGACGCAACTGCATGACATTCTTTGGGCTGTCCATGACGGAAAAAACCATGGTAGAAGCGAGGGCGAGGAAAATTTCGAGGAGTTCCCGGTTACGGTGGGTGGTCGGGGGCCGAGCGATGCACGTTTCTCTCATACACGTACGCGCGTGTGTGCGAGGCGTTGGGCTCTAACTGAACCTGAGCGATTGCACTAGCTACGTTACTGAACCCGAGTGATTCCTTCACTACTGCTACTAATTGAAGCCGATCGATGCTGCCTCTGGATAAACAGTGAGCATTGCTGGGGGGGGGGGTTGGATGAACAGTTCCCGGTGGGGGTGGATGAACAGGACCCCTTGGTGTTGCCTCTGAATGAACAGGACCCCGATCGATCGAGCCGGTTGGGGCTGGATGAATAGGACCCCGTGGAGGGCTAGATGAACAGAACGACCCCATGGAGGGCTGGATGAACAGTAGTCCATGGAGGGGTGGTTGAACAGGAGCCCGTGGAGAGGGCTGGTTGAACAGTAGCTGGTGGAGTAGCGCGCGGTGAAGGCTGGATGAACAGGAGTCCGTGGATGATCAGTCGCAAGTGGAGGCTGGATGAGGTCGACGGTGGATGAACAGTAGCCCATGGAGGCTAGGGGGGGTCGACAGTGGAGATGAACAGTATTCCGTGGAGTCCCGTTTTGTGGTACACCACACCCCTCCCGATGAACAGGACCCCCATTTCGACTGTAGCGCTCCAACACAAGTCCGCTTCTTCCGTTTTGCGGTACGCCACACCCCTCCCGATCAACAGGACCCCGTTTTGACCGTAGGAGGTCTAACACAAGTCTGTTTCCTCCTTTTGCGGTACGCTAGACCCCTCCCAATGAACAGGATCCCGTTTCGACCATGGCCGGTCGAACACAAGGCCGTTTCCTCTGTTCCTCGGTACGCTAGACCTCGTTTCCATCGGCTGTTCCGTCCAAGCCGGTTGGCTCCCACGCGTTCCGTTGCCTCCCGATGAACACGGCGCATTCTGTTGCCTCCCCATGAACACGATGACGACGCAATTTCTCCATTCCGACCCAGCCATGTACACGAGCCCTGGCCATACATATGCGCGAGTAGGCGTTCCAGACCCCGCCCATATGTACGTACGTGGCCGTATTTTCTCTCTTGCACACTAGCTGCTGTACATACGTGTACATGCTACATGCGCGTCTCTACTACGACACATGCACGCTCTACATTAACCAGTATGTACGTACATATTCGCGACCAGAATGACAACGCTACATATGCTTCGACAAGGTGGGTCCCGACTGTCAGGCACTTCGTTACGTGCGAAGATATAGCTGGTGGGTCCCAGCAGTCAGGGGGGCGAATCATTTTTTTGCCCGGACGCACTTCCTTGCATGCGAAGATGTAGCTGATGGGTCCCAGCAGTTAGGGGAAAACATTTTTTTCGCGAAATATGGTGGCCCGTCCGGTGGGTCCCTGCTGTCAGGTGCAGGAATAATTATTTTGCGCGTAATAAGTAGGCACGTCCTTGCGGCTGCCGTGGACCCAGCTGTCAGCCTCTCCACGTACAGTACTCTTCCGATGGAAGTCGGTCTTTGACCACATTGACCACGCCGCGCCGAGAGCACCAAGGCGGTGGACGACGGCGAGGCCTAGGAAGGGGACGACACGGAGCCAGGGAAGACGCGGCAGTGGATGCCCACGCGGAGAGGAGTACGAGGATTCACTGGTTCGGCTGCGGTGTGAGGCTGCCGTTGCCGCAGAATAACATGGGGTGTGGGTGACTAGAGGGATGGCCTGGCCAGCGGTGGGAGTAGTAGAGGGCGGTGAGGCCTCCACGGCATCGCAGCCGGCCACGGGAGGCAGGAGCACGAGGCACGACCGGCGCTGGTTTGGGCGGCTGGAGCAAGAAGACCAGAGGTTGAAGAAGCACTACGGCCGTTGGATGGACATCGTACGGTCACTGGAGCTAGAATCGTGTATATTGACTAAGTTGACAAAGCCCTCCGTCCCGGTCAACTTAATAGGCCCACAAGTCAGCCTCCCACTATACTGGGTCCCATCTAGCAAGGGGAGTATTCATTTTTTTATGCGTAATAAGGAGGCACTTCCTTGTGTGCGAAGATATAGCTGGTGGGTCCGAGTTGTCAGCGGCGGTAACGTTTTTTTGTGAAATACATGTTGGGGAACGTAGCAGAAATTCAAAATTTTCCTACGTGTCACCAAGATCAATCTAGGAGATACTAGCAACGAGAGAGAGGGAGTGCATCTTCATACCCTTGAAGATCGCTAAGCGGAAGCGTTCAAGTGAATGGGGTTGATGGAGTCATACTCGTCGTGATCCAAATCACTAATGATCCTAGCGCCGAACGGACGGCACCTCCGCGTTCAACACACGTACGGTTGGGAGAGACGTCTCCTCCTTGTTGATCTAGCAAAGGAAGGTGAGGTTGATGGAGATCCAGCAGCACGACGACATGATGGTGGAAGTAGCGGGATCCTGGCAGGGCTTCGCCAAGCACAAGCGGGAAGGAAGAGGTGTCACGGGAGGGAGGGAGGCGCCAGGGCTTCAGATCTCGCTGCCCTCCCTCCCCTTCACTATATATAGGGGCCTAGGAGGGCGCCGGCCCCTTGTAGATCCCATCTAGGGAGGGGGGCGGCAGCCCTAGGGGTGGCTTGGCCTCCAAGCCAAGTGGAGGCGCCCCCACCCCTTAGGGTTTCCAA